CTCCCATCATAGACCTCACATCTTCCGGTGGCTTCCCTCACTGCCTGTGTTTGTGAAAAGCCAGCAGGAAGCTGCCTTGCCTAACGACTATGGGATTCGGTTAACGATGGCAACGGGGACTGCAGGGATTGCTGTCACTAAGTGATGCAGTTGTGCTTTACGACTGCATCGCTTAGCGACAGCAATTCTGGTCCCAATTGCCATTGTAAGTTGAGGACTACCCGTGCTATTAAATTTCCAAATTTCAAGATCTTGGGCTTCTATATTTCCCAACTTTGTTGGTGGGGGGGGGGGAGAAAAAGAGAAACACCCCGGGGACACAAAATAGGCCCATAAGAATACTGTGCTGCTTCCCACAAAGAGCCAGGGAAGCTCTGGGAAGCCTCACAAGCAGTCTACCTCCATCCATAGAGGTCTATGTCTGCAGACCCCTCAACAGAACATTCTGGCTTGAATCCTTTTGGGTCCGTTTGGATCCATCAGATTAGGTCCAGTTAATGCAGAACTGTACTTCCCAACCTGGCCAACAACGTCTCTCCAAGAAGCCTACAAGAACACCCATCTGCCCAGAGAGGAAGTCATCAGCTTGCCTTTTGGTACAAGATACGCACAGGCTCAAACACACGTGGCCATACACACTCACTCACCACGTTTCGGTTTAGGGAAGCTCTGATGGAGTCGAAAGACCACCCTCTCCACAAAGTGCTGAATCTCAAATTGCTCTGGGCCACGTACAAACACCATCCAGTCATGGGTGAACCCCTCAGTGGTGGGCTTCTTGCGTAGCTGGGCACGGTGTCCAAGCTCCAACTTCACCTGGACTGTACACTAGGAAGAGGGAAGGCGGTGTGCAATGGGAAAGGCAAGGGCAAAAGGAGGGAGGGAGGGAAGGAGGGAGGGAGGGAGAAAAACCAAGGTGAAAGTGTGCTTTTAGTAAACCAGATCTAACTGGTGAACTACAACTGTCACTTCTTAAAAAAAAAGTTCCACCAATTGTTTATAGTTCAGGAAAGACAATTGCACAAGAAGTGATTGAATTCACTTGTTTAGACCAGCTTTTCCCAACTAGATGGGAACTCGGGGATTCATGAAACAGCTTATCTGGAGGATATCAGTTTGGAAAAGCTGATTTAGACCCTAATCTTTCAGGACTTATGCTCTACTCAGGTTGACTCACAATTATTTGAAACATAAAACTGTACTGCAGATTAATTTCTCACACACACACACAATACAGATCAGCTTAATGCAAAAAGCTCCATCCAGATTACAGGTACGTGTCTATGCGCCATGCTCTTCCAACTCTATGTTAGGACTTACCATGTAAATATAGGGTAATATTTACAAAGCCCCTCCCACTGCTGTTTGGGGGCAAAGGCGAGTCTTGAATCCTTCTAGAATCTAGCTCTTCTAGCATTTAGTGGAAGAAAGGTCTTTCCAGCTCAAGCAGGTACAAGAGCAAAGCAGCTCAAAAAAAAAAAGGCGGGACCCACATTCTTCCCCTTCTGTTGTTAGCATTCTCTGTCACTTCCAGGATACAGCTACCATGAGCTTGCTGGAATGAAGGGACTAGCCCAGGGCAGAAAGCACCAGGACGCCCCTTTTCAGCCTTACAGGCCCCAACAGCAGAATCTACCCTTGACCTGAAAACTTCAATGACGCCCTGAGAAAATAAATGCCTAAAAGCATAAAGTCAGAAAAGCATAATTACAGGGTTGGGGGGTCACTGGTCTGTTCAGGAATAACCCCCACTTCTGAACGGGACCTCTGATGGGGCAATTCCTGATGGACAGCAGCTGGAGTTCATTGGAGCATGAGCTGAAATTAAACCAATGCTCAAACAGCTATCAGGAGGTAGATACTAGCCCAACTAAAAAGCAGTCTGAGCATAAATTATCTAGCAGGGTGAGTTATTTGAATAGAAGGTATACAACTGTTGGAGGTGTTCTGGCAGGAGTGTTGGTGGAATGGTTAAAAAAAAAAAAAAAGGTCAAGATGGCACCTGTGACTGCATGATTGAAGCCCCATGTCTGTTTTATGTGCATTGGGGGCTTTAACCGTGCAGCCTCCATCTTGACTTTTTTGCTCCCCTGCGCACACCCGGCGTTCTAGCAAAGGGTTGGACCAGATGCTTCAACTTTTATGAACCACCACCATACATATCTGAAGATGCTCAATATTTGAATGTTGATGTAATCCTTCCCTTGTTTTTCAGATCAGATGCCCTGAGTGCTTTTAAAAGTAGAAAGGAATAGTATAAATCCAATAAATAAATAACTAAATAGCTTCCCTTTCACATTAACTAGAAGGCTCATCTCTCCCAATTACCAACATTACTTGTCTTGGGCTAGGTTCCTACAACACACTAAGCTAATTTGTGGTTTACTATGATGGGTAAACTCAATGCTGTTTATAAGTTATTATTTACAGTTTACTATGTTGCACAATTTTCAATTATTTATATAGTTTATGTGTACTAGAGTCCTTTGTTCCCAGTCTTGCTGTACAGGTACTCCTTGTTGAATGACCACTTGTTTAGTGACCATTCAGTTATGATGGCAATGAACGAGGAGGACTGATGACAGGTACTTGTAGTTGTGGCAGCATCCGTGCAGTCACATGATTGTGATTTGAGCACTTGGCAACCAGCTTGCAATTATGATGTCGCAGCATCCTGCGACCGCCATTTACAACCTTTGCTGCCAGCTTCCGACATGCAAAGTTAGAATGGGGACGCTGTTCTGGTGTGGAGGTGGCGGCGGCTGCAGCAGCACTGGTGGAGAAGCAAAAGAGAGGCTTGGGGGGTGCCAGGCCCAGTGGGTCGCAAATGGTGACCACATAACTGTGGGATGTTGCAACTGCATGGGGTTCACCTAACGGCGGCAACTGGGATTACTGCAACTGCCATCGTAAGTCAGCATGGTCACACTGACTTGACACACCGCATCGCTTAGCAACAGAGTTGCCCGTCCCAATTACCATCATTAAGCGAGGACTACCTGTAAAGGGAAAAATGAGCTCAAAAAAGCCAACTTGGCTTTTATAGTTCCCCCCACAACACCAGTCTGTTAAATTAAGGGTCTATTATATTTTGAGACAACAAAAGGCCTACTGGGTTTCCAAATGACCTTCAGATTGCAGCAGCAGCAGCAGCAGCAGCAGCAGCAAGAAGCAGCCCAGCATTTCTGTAGCAATCAAGGCATCACAGAAAGACTTCACTGTTCTTCAAGTTCAGGAAAAAAATAGACTCTCCTGGAGAGAGACCTCCAGAAGTTACTATGCATCTGGAACTGTGCTATACATGGAAACGAGAGAGGGAGGAAAAGAAAAAAAATGGGGAGCAGGGATACCAAACATATATATGTATGTGTATAGAGAGAGAGAGAGAGAAAGTGAAGTCTTTGATATGTCTAAGTACAGACATATCAATAAGCCAGACCCTGTCTGGGCTGGCAGCTACAACATTCACTGATGTGTTGCACTAACAACTGAATCACGTGGGAAGTGGACCTGCTGCACCTCCTGTTATCACCACAAACCAAGGTCTTTTCACTCATTCCACCACCTGCTAAGACTACGTGTGTAAACAAAACTGCACCTCGCACCTTGTCACCAGGGGTGGGAAATCCGTGTTCCTCTCTGTGTTGCTCAACTACGAGCCTTAGCACCCAAACACCTACCAGTCCCGGTGGGCGTTCGGAGCCAAGCGCAGGCCACACCATCCTTTCCTCCTACCATCCTTCAGAAAGCCTTACCTTACGCATCAGGCACACCCACATTCACGTTACACACAGCCACAAAGCGCGTACATCGCGAGCACAGGCACATACGTACCTGCATCTGCACGCGGATGCCTCCAGAGGCAAGGAGGGGGTGGGGCTGGGGGTGGGGCTGGCAGGCTCCAAATGCAACTGACGGGGCTGCCAGCTTAACCGTTGCCCCTTAGGCAACGCAGGCGACAGCGGCCCCATCGGGGAGGGACGAAACGAGGGGGAGCCATCGCCTCGGCT